AACAAAAGATATTTTTTTAATTTTACTTTGAACACTTATTCTTGTTATACAAATTGATATGTGTGGTGCCATGTCACTGATTTTCCATAGGCCCACTTTGAACTTTAAAACATTTTTGTTTTTGAAATAGAAATATAGATTTGACGTTACTTTAACTTAGGCTCATTTGTTGATCAGGATGTGAGTAAAGGTTAGGAAGGCCCAATAGTAAGTTTTAATTTTCCAATTAATCCACAAGATGTTTAATTTAGAGAGCTGCTCTATAGAGGATGGATTTAAAGTGTCTACTTTGCACCAGCAGAGAGAACCAGAGGCAACGTATAGTTTGAGCTATTGTGTCTCCCAGCTCAGCTGAGAACGTCTGGGATTGAGAGCAAAAACAGAGTAAGTCATTTTACTCAAAATGGACTGGGGTTATCCTTTACTGTACATGTCAGACTAGGAGAATTACAGTGTGACATTGAATCATGCACTGTTTTTTAACCTGCATGACCTTAATCAAGAAGAGTATTAACCCATCAGTTTGTTTTCATGAAATTGTTTTGATGTCATGTATGGATTTATGTTCATTGAAATACAGTTTTACTGAGTTTGAGCCCTATGTTAGGGAGAACACATTCAACAATGACAATACTATTATCTCTATTCATAGTAACTGCTTTAATTGTAGAATTAAAATGATGATGAAATGGAATTATCGTCCCAGTTTAAGGGTCGGAAATTTCTGACATTTCAGCATGCTGTATGTATGCAGGAAAAAGTCTGTGTGTAGAGCACAAGAGGCTGATTGCATCGGTCCAAATTCCAATACAGAATTCCGCTGGTGGTCATCTGAAAATGATTTAGCTTCAATTCATGTTTTTAAAGAGATATCTGAAACCAAGTCAAACTAACAATCTGCGTAAATGACTACTCCAACTCCATTTTTGAGCCTGATATGAAACCAAGTTTTTTTTTAAATATATATTTTATTATTTTTTCACATAACAAACACATAACAAGACAGCACAGACGCAGCCAAATTACTGAAGAAAAAAAAAATATATAAAACAATAATAACATACATGGGTCATAATAACATATATCATATCAGATACAATCTTATCTTCCTAAATGACATGTCAAAGGGAAAAACATGATGTATTTTTGAAGATAAAGAGTGGGCACCCTTTCTGCAATAAGCCAATCAGATCAGTGGGAAGATAATCTATGAAGGGTTGCCAATTATTATAAAATAGGTTGTCATTGCCCTTTAATTTAGCACTGAGGTGTTCCATAGGAAAAACCTTAAATGTTTCTCTGTACCACTGCGTGACTGATGGAGGCTTCTCCTGAATCCACTGAAACAGAATACATCTCCTCGCTAGGAGCAGAAGTTTACCCATTAGAACGATCTGTCCTTTTGATAGAGAGTTGCGTAGGTAAGTTCAGGAGAAACAAGGCTGGCTCTAGTTTTATTGTTCTGTGAGAAATTAAGCCAAACTCCTGGGCAACATTTTTCGAATACCTGGATATTAAGGGACATTGCCAAACACAGTGATAGTAAGTTCCTACTTATTTTTTACACTTCACACAGAGGGCGGAGATCCGAGGATTAATTTTGTTTAAAAATTGTGGTGTTCACTGAAGTCTATGTAATATTCTGTATTGGCTCTCTTTGAGTCGATTACATGTAAAGATTTTCCTAGCTGAAACAAAGCTACCTGACCACGCCTCAGTGCTAAGTTCAACCTCCAAGTCCCTTTCCCATGATTCCCTAGTTCTCTCAACCCTATCACAATTAATAGGATGTGATTTGTCATAAAAAAGGGAAATTATTTTTCTGTCGTTGAGAGCATTTAAAACAAAAATTGAGAAGAAAACTTTCAATTGAACTCAACAATGGTTGATCAGTGGGGATAATACGATCTGATTGGACAAAATGCCTAACTTGGAGAAAACCAAAGAAGTCGCTATTTGGTATTCTGTATTTGGTCTTGAGTTGATTGAATGACATAAAATCACCATTTTGAAAGAAATCAGCCACAAATCTTAGACCCTTTGAATACCAGTCATTGAAAATACTTTTCCCTATACCTGGAGAGAAGGCTTTATTTTGAGTCAGAGGTTGTAATGCTGATGAGAAACCTCTCCAGCCAATGTGTTTCGTAATATCTCTCCATACATATTCTAAGTGTGCTAAACATGACAGCGTTGTTTTTAACATCTGCTGGCAGTTCGCCAGCATCAGTTGAGAGGAGACTGAAAGGAGAGATAGGGGAACAGCACCATGAATCTGCTAGAGGCTCCCCTTGATGTATAAAATGGTTTAGCCAGCGTGATATTATCCTGCCGTGGCAGGCCCAATTGTAATATAGAAAATTAGGAAGTGCTTGACCCCCCCTGTCTATTGGCAACTGTAAGGTCTTCATCTTTAGCCTAGATTTCTTGCCATGCCATATACATTTTGAAAGAGATCTTTCGATATCCAAAATAACTCTTCTATTGATCTTAAGTGGCAACATTTGCATTGGGTACAACATCCTGGGGAGCACATTCATCTCAACCAAGCTTATTCTACCCATCCATGACAGAGGAAGATCAAACCATCTGTTGAGGTCATTTTTTAACTGCTTTCAAAGTTGAAATGAAATGTAATTTATACAATTCTTTTATGTCTGCTGATACTCTAATCCCCAGATAGGTAAAGCCTGAAATTGACCACCTGAACAGAAAATTAACAAGGGTATCCGGGTCACCAAAGTCTCTGAGAGGCAAGTCCTCGGATTTGTCATAACACATTTTTTACCCTGAAATTTGGCCAAATTGACTTATAATTGATTCCAATACCGGTGTGGAGCTCTCTGGATTAGTAATAAACAACAATATATCATCAGCATAGAGCGAGATCCTGTATTCTGTGTCTCCCAATGTGACACCAGAAAAACAATGGTGGGTTCTAACGGCCTCTGAGAGGCTTGAGCGGAAGTGCGAACAAAAGCGGCGAAAGGGGACAGCCCTAGCGTGTGCCTCTATTCAGAGGGAACATATCAGACACTGAACCATTTACCAGAATTCTTGCAGAGGGAGATCAAAAGGAGCTTAACCCAAGTCGTGAAACCAGAGCCCAAACCAAACCTGTTAAGAACATCAAATAGATACTCCCACTCCACCCGATCAAAAGCTTTTTCTGCATCCAATGAAACAGCAAGAATCATTTTCTTTGTATTTTGTGAAAATTGTATAACATTCAGGAGCCGACGAGCATTGGACTGGGAGTACCTACCTTTTATAAACCCTGTCTGGTCTGATCCAACCAAGATGGGCAAGACCTCCTCCAGTCTTCGAGCCAGAAGCTTGGATAATATTTTGCTATCAACTCCGAGTAAGGTTATTGGTCTGTAAGAAGCACAGCTGTCCAAGGGGTTTTCTTTTTTTTAAATCAAGGAGATATGGGCAAGATTTAGAGTTGATGGAAGTGTTCCCCTTTCAAAAGATTCTAGAAACATTTTAGTTAAAGGTCGGACAACCAACCTGGACATTTGTTTTATAAAATTCAGGGCCGAACCCGTCAGGACCTGGGCCTTTTGCGAGACTGACAAGGAGCCTGCCAGGTTTGTTTCCAGATTCAAATAATCTATGTTTAGCAAAAAAAATAGCTGATTCTGCTTTTTGGGTTAGAAGTTGATCTAAGGCAGAGTGCGCTGCTTCTAATTTTTTAAACAAAGATACGGAGGAAGAGGCTTTAAAGACTATTTCCAAGGTTTTAATTTGCTGCTCAAGCTGTTTTGCTAATGTATTCTTCCTCTTTGCAGCTGTATCAGAAATTATGCCCCCCCTCAGGAAAGCCTTGCCTGTTTCCCATAAAGTAGATGCAGATACATCAGGTGATTCATTAGTGGAAATAAAAAGTTCCCATTGTTTTTCTAAATATGTTACAAATTCAGGATTGCTGAGAAGAGATGGATTTAGGCGCCAGTGTCTAGATAGAGGGTCATAATAAGGTGGTAGGAGTTCTATAGAAACTAATGAATGATACAAAAGGACAAATGCATCAATAGAGCAGGATTTAGTCCAATTGACAAATAAATAGTCAATTCTTGAGAAAGACTGATGAGGGCGAAAGGGAGAAAAAAGAAATATTTTTTTTCTTGAGGATTAATGATTCTCCATGCATCAAATAAGCCTAGATCTAGACATAGATCCTTTGTGGCTTTCGCCATCCTGGATAGAGGTAAAGTTTTAGATGGACTGTGGTCCATTTCTGAAAACCAATCCGCAATTGAAATGTCCTCCTAATATAACAAAAGAGGGGCAAACCCAAGTTTTATGTTGCATGGTTAGGTTTAGGAAAACGTTTAAATAATATGTCAACATTATGTTCTGGTTGAACACAAGCTGTAGTCTCCTTATTGAAGGAAAAAAATAATAATCAAAAAACCCTGAAATCTGCAGGCACAGAAACACTTTGATGTTGCAGGGACGAAATACTCAACATTTGACATCTAAATATAAACCAACATGGGGCATGGTTACATCATGTCACTGCATCACCAGCGTAAACTCAGACCTCTGTCTTTCCCTTTCCATACTCACCTGGTGTTCCTGCAGAGCTTTGTTTCCTCAGATGTTCAGATCAGGTCGTTTTTATAACTTGCTGCTTTACAGTGCACAACAGGTGAAAAGTTGTGACAAACAAACAAGAAAGTCTCTGAGTGCTGGGCCATGAAACAAAACATTAATATCCATATGCTGTAGCTTTCTCTGTTGCAACTTCCCTGTTAGCAAAACATCAGTTTGAACTCACGGCAACCGTCTAAATGACGACAACTGATGATTTGTCAAGTTTGATCCAAGCAAACTCTGGTCTTCGAAGGTAGTGGAGCATTTCTAATCTAGAACACATCATACAAATTAAACCCTGTCAAAGACAAATACGGATTATCATCACCATTCATGTTGCATTGACCCTTTCAGTACCTTCCAAAGTATGAATAAAAGACATACTAAACATCTTGTTTTGGTTTTCTTTAATCATTGCTTTTGCTAAAGTTCTTCATATGTTATATATTATTTTGATTTCCAGTAAAAGAAAACATACAGTGCATCTAAAATGTTTTTGTCCTTCCTCATGAAAATAGTCATTCAACTATAAACCGAACTTTTGCTCTGTTCATGTATGGCGGACTGTTGTGGAAAGCTTTATTCTCCTCGTTGTTTATTCCATCTTCCATCCCTCCTTCATCTGCATCCTTTCCTTTTCCCATCATCCTCAGGGGCAGCAGAAGCCCGCCATGTTGGTGGTTGGTGGTGTTTACCATCTGGCAGCAGTGAGCTCCGCCCTTGTCTTTGGTCAGGAAGTATAGGAGGGCGTTGAGCCATGCGTTAAAGGATGCCAAAGGCCGGGTGATCTTATAGCACATGGAGACCATGGTCATGGTGTGGCATGGGACTCTATTGGTCACTTTCAGCAGGAGGAAGATGGTTCTGGTTACGTGGAAGGGGAAGAAGCACAGAGCAAAGAGAAGGGTGATTGTAATAATGGTCTTAATCGATTTGCGTCTGCGATTGGCATAGGGGGAGTTGGCGCCAAGAAAAATGGAAACTCCTTCATCTCTTATCCGTGTCCTCGACATGCCATTGCTTCCTCTTCTTTCTCCTCCATCGATCTTAGGGCTTCTTCGAAAATGTCTATGTATCCCTTCGTGTCCCCCTGCCCTCGAACCTCTGCTGGATGAGGGCTGAATGTGTAGACTCCTAAATATGGTCAGAACAACATGAGAGTAACACCAAGCAATGATGGAAAACGGTACAAAAAAGCCCAGCAAATGGAGAATGATTCCATATGGCACGTAATCAGGAAACTCCTTGTCTATGGCATCGTCCCAACAGTTCTGGTACTCCTCAATGACCACCCCGAGGTTCCCATTGCTAGTACTACCATTCATTGATAATACCTCATGGCTAAGGTTGACTGTAGTGCTACCATTACCATTAAGACCAGCCAATCTCGTTACATGACCAGTCTGAGCAAACCTGGCCACCAGGAAGGGAAGCGACAATCCGTACATAAAGTCCGTAGAGGCCAGGTTGACCATGTAGATCAGGGAGGCGTTCCATCGCTTTGTCCTGCGGAAGGAGCGGTAGAGGATGACGGAGTTCAGGGAAATGCTGAAGATAAAGGTGAAAGAGTAGCAAATGGGGAGGAAGATGTACTTGTAAGACTCGTCTATGCTGCAGGATGGAGATGGAGGGAAGGTAGAGGGAGAAGGTGGGAAGGCATCAAAGAGTTTGTTGAGTACCGATGTGCTGATGTTGAGGGGAACTCCACTGCTGGATGACATTTTGAGGGTTTCAATGATGTTCAGGTGAGAGAGAAGTTGGTGTATGATTGTACTTTAGGGAATCCGTCAAGCTTTTCCTCTGTCATTTTTGTACTCTGTCATTCTTGAGTCTTTAATGGTAATCCTTTGTGATACTTTGCAGCAGATTCTCAGAGGATTTCAGAAGATCCAGAAGAGGGTCACCTAAAGATAAAGAGACAAAACAGTCATACGCTTGTATTGAATTTGGAAAGAAAATAGAATCCTGGTATTTTCCAACCTTAGTCCTCCTTCAAAATATTTTCAACACAGGAGACTTAAAGATACTTTACAAAAATATTTCTTCAGCTTTCAGCAGTGAAACTGGTGGTAATGGTTATTTTAAGTCTCATGCACCAATCAAAGTCAGGCTTTTGTACTTGGGATCCCCTAAAAACTTTCACTAAACTAAACTTTCATTCTGGATCTCATTCTGGGTCAGTTCATCACTTTTTGGATAAGCTAGCAATATTGTCATCTATGTTTATGAAGCTCTTGAAAGTCCTCTTGGAAAAGGGGCTCTACATTTTGTTTTTTCTAATATTTAGGGGACTGACTGGAAAGAGGAGTAGCTTCCCGTCACCCCTCCCCCCCTCCTCTCTGACTGTTGACCAGGCCTTTGCACAATCTGTTTGACCTCCTGCTGAATGCTGCTGATTCTTTGTGCTTGTTTGCCTTCCTGTGTACAAGGGTATGCTGCTGATTCAGTTCTTCTTCTCACCCCATTAACTCTGCAATAAGTAACCACACTTCCCCCCGGTGTCTCTGCACATCCGTCATACTTCCATCACACTGGCTGAATTTATGATACATAGATTTGGAAGCCACCATTATTATGTCTACAATTAAAGAAAACAACAGGGTTCAGTCAGGTAGAAACCCTTTAGCACTCAGTGGAAAGCTTCATTATCAGCATGTTAGCATGGGCACACAGACAGACGCCACTGTATGTTTGTGTAAGCATGAAGAGAGGTTATATCCACAGGTGATACACCACTTAGTGTATCAGTTCAACAAAGGTCTCTGTCCTATAACCTGAGTATGATCATATTCATAGCAGCCTTATTAGCTCAGCTGTAAAAGATGTCTAAGAGCCTAAATCAAGAATAAAGCTGAATTCATGCACTTCTGAAAATTTATAGAAAATTCAGACAGTCTGTTCCTGAAATCTTCCTGAGTAGGTTGTTAACACATGTTCTTAGCAGGGGGAAACTGTCTGTTGGGAGTGGGGGTCTCAGAAGGCAGAACATGACGTAAAAAGGACCACAAAGAAGTGGCAGACTAGGGCCAACACTATCATACCAAAATGTGTTGTTTGACAGAATCACAAAAAAAATTACAAAGTTTCATTTTGTGCACGGAGATCAGGTGTGCAGTCTACGTTCGGGCGCCAGTCCCAGGATACAAATGTCACCACCCTCTCGCACTCTTTAAAATGTTCTGCTCCGTTCTCACATCAGCTCACTGACTACTAGGATGGTGGCTGGAGAAATGTTTGAGCAAAGTCAGAGTAACAATATTGTCTGTTTGCATTTTTGACAGAAACATGTTCCAGCCTGCAGCAGGTAAACAGACTGTACCGTCTGCAGCAGGTAAACAGACTGTAACGTCTGCAGCAGGTAAAATGGCTGTAACATCTGCAGCGGGTAAAGAGACTGTAACGTCTGCAGCGGGTAAACAGGCTGTAACGTCTGCAGCGGGTAAAGAGACTGTAATGTCTGAAACAGGTAAACAGACTGTAACGTCTGCAGCAGGTAAACAGAATGTAACGTCTGCAGCAGGTAAAGAGACTGTAACGTCTGAAACAGGTAAACAGACTGTAACGTCTGCAGCAGGTAAACAGGCTGTAACGTCTGCAGCAGGTAAACAGAATGTAACGTCTGCAGCAGGTAAACAGACTGTAACGTCTGCAGCAGGTAAACAGAATGTAACGTCTGCAGCATGTGTCCATTAATCTCCATTTATTTTATAAAAACTTAAAAATCTGTCATCAGCTGTTACGCATTCTTTCAGTTCATTATATCCAGCAACAAAAAGTAATAAGCAAAGTAAGCAGAGTAAAACATTTTATATCGTAAACAGTTGAGATTTTTAGAAATCTAAATCCATTTAATAAAACATTGTTGGTCTCCGTTGACTTCCATTCAGCCAGATTCATAACCATGTTGCAGATTATTTAACATTTTTAAACCTTGGAAGTGGAAGTAAACGTTCTGAAACAGAATAAATACAAAGACACTTGAAATTTTCCTGAACATTCATTACTACATCGATCAGATTGAGTCTATAATTATTTTTCTCTGATGTCGTGGGATTTAGTGGTTGTGAATGGTATGTCAGTTTATCAGGAGAACAGTTTGTAACATGTTTATAAAGTTTATGATTTCAAAGCAGTGATTTTATTATATGAAGTTTACCAGTTTTACAGCTTTAACGTCCTGTTCCAAATATAACCGATGTTTGTGGAAGTGTTTTTGCTCATAAATTCCTGCATCACTGCGCTCACAGGTCAGACAAAGAGCTCACCTGAGCGTCCATATGGCTCCTGTTCCGTCTGCGGCCCATCAGAATAATCATAGAAACATCCAGAAGACGTGGACTGCTGCTTCACTTTGTGTCAGCTGCTTGTCAAAGACCACCCAGCCTCAAACCACAGCTCCCAGTTTGGACACTCGTGACCTTCACAGGTGGACGTCTGCAGGTTTCTTCTTTTTCTGCTGAAGAGAGAAAACAGTCTGAGAGGTTTCTATGGTGATCAGTCCCTCCCCTCCGTCACCGTGTCATCCTCCCCCCGCCTCACCCCTGTGTGTGTGTGTGTGTCTCTTTAACTCACCTGTTGAACACAGTCAACAGATCTGAAATATTAAGACACACTCCTGAACTGTCGAGGCACTTTAATGTTTTCTGCCCCCGTGAACTTTTGTTTTCACAACATAAACTAAAGTGCAGTGTGTGTCTATGTGTGTGTCCCTGTGTAGTGTGTGTCTGTCTCTGTGCCTCGTGTGTGTGTGTGTGCGTGTCTGTGTCTCTGTGTGGGTAGTGTGTGTGTGTAAATAGAGGCCTGATTTTGGTTGTAATGTCGTCTGAAGAACAAACATGACGATGATTCAAGTGAAAACATTAACGCGACATCACAGAGGAATTCAGTCTGGTGCTCTCTGGCACCGCCTGAAGGTCTGTGAGTGTAACTGCACTGTGGTGAATCACAGAAGCTGTTTTCACATGTTCACACACAATACTCACAGCAGGAGAATATGTAAATAAACGTCCACAGTTCTGCTTCTTAAAACTTTAAATAAAGAGAAAACATTTCAGCCATCATCTTCATGTCATTTTATTAATGAAGTTCGTCAGTGAAGAAGAGAGAAACATCAACAATAATCAATCTTGTTTTATACACCAACATTTTAATAACGTGTGCCGAGACTGAAAAAAAAACTAACATGGTTAAAAAATCCCTTACATATCCCACGACAATGACGACATGACAACAACATCAATGTCGAAAGTGACAACAAAAACATGACAACTACATCTACAACATTTACCAAGCGATTTGGTGAGATTAATCAGCATGCTTGTTTACTCAGACGAGATGGTTCAGACTTTCTAAAGTCAGATGAACGTTTCGACCGGATCGATCAGTCGGCAGATTCAGCAGCTTCTCACGAAGATTCAAAGAGGAAACAGAAGAGTTAAAGACGAGTTGCGTTATCGTCCGGTGAGTTTCTCTTCTCATCATCAGTCTCAGTGAGGTCACTTCAGGTGATGTCAGAAGGTGAACGTTTCTGATTGGTCAATCACACAGAGACTCTGAATGTTTCAGTTCAATCTGGGATCAGTGCGGGAACTTAAAGTGAGACTGGTTGGACTAAAGGAGCGACCACAGAACCTTTAAATCAAACTCAGACTCTGTAAACATCCGACTCTTTGGCCCCTAAAAACAGAATTAACGAGGATTTAAACTTTAAAGTAGAGCTGCTCCATCGTCCCTTCTGGGCCTCCATCCATGTGTGGTGGTGACTGTGTCTGCAGAGACCCTGTCCTCTGACTGGATTTGACTGTTCTGCTTTGTTCTTGTTGACTCTGGTGTGTTTCCTCCAGCCAATGACAGAGCAGCAGGTGAGTTTAGGAGTTCATACAATTCAGTGATTGGACGCCATTCAAACAGGTGAATATGACAGAAGTGGACGTAGCAGCAAAGAAGAGAAAAAATAATCACAGTGAGGAGAAACACCAAGTAGATAAAGCTTGTTCTAAAAGCAGGGTGAACCTTTTCTTGGCTTTTACCGCTGGATGTGGAGTTGGTCTGCTTCCTGTTGGGCAGGCAGGTAACAAAGCCCTGTCCTTCAGCTGTCCTCGCCCAAACTGTGACCACACGCAACAAACGTTCCCTTTGTGCATCTCTGACCCAGAGAGGAGCAGCTTTTTGAAAACGTGTTAGAGACGCCACAAAGAAGTCATATACTCATCTGTGTTTAATCTCCTGACAACATTCAACAATCAGTGAGATGATAAAGTGACTTTACTATATGATCAGACATTAAGGAAACATGCTATGTTGAAGTGCTGGCTTTTCTGCTGCTCTGTTATTTTTCATCACATCCTGCATCCATCTGTGTGCTCCTCCCCTCTTCACCATGATGATGCTGACCACTCCTCATCTACTGAGTGAACCATATGTGAGGACATGGTGCCCTCCTTTACCTGCAATCCTGGTGCAGAGGATTTGAGATCTGAGTCTAAACATGACAGAAACCCAAAATTGTCCCTGTTCAGGTCCCCCGTTCAGGATCATCTCTGGTGTAAACAGTCCTTTAGAGACACAAAGATTCCCTTTAAAAACACGAAAACATGAAAAAGAACTCTGCAGGCATCTACTCAAACTCTCCTCTGTGATTTGACTGCTCAGCCTGATCGCTTCAAAACGTTTGACTCCGTCTGATTCTCCACCAAGTCCTCAGACTGTTTAATATGTTTGTGGGATATATAAACCCTCCTCATCCTCAGAGCGAGGTCAGGTCCTCATCCTCAGAGCGAGGTCGGGTCCCTGTTCTCAGAACAGGGTTGGGTCCTCGTTCTCAGAGTGAGGTCAGGTCCTCGTCCTCAGAGTGAGGTCAATTCCTCGTCCTCAGAGCGAGATCAATTCCTCGTCCTCAGAGCGAGGTCAGGTCCTGGACCTCCAACAGCATGGCGTCCTGCTCCGTCCTCAGCTGGTCCCGGACCTGCAGGAGACCAACCAGCTCGGAGCTCAGGTCTGACACACGGAGACACTCGTTAGATGAAACAAAGGGGTTTATGTGAAGAACAAACATGCAGTGTGTGGAGATACCTTGGATGTTCTTGCTGAGCGACTTGTTGAGAGCGTTCAGCTCCTTCATGCTGAACTTTTGTAAATCGCTTAGATCCAGATGTCTCCTCTTGACGGCGGCATCACTGCGAGCTGCAGACTGAAAACATGAGAGGAGAGAGTCAGATAGTTTCAAAGGTCACATGTTATATAACATCCACTTCACCATGTTCCTCTAACACTAACATTTGTCTCTAGTCAGTCTACAAACCCCCCAATGATGAGAAGTGCCTGCTCCACTTTTCAGAAAATGTGTGATCAAACAGGCCGTTTGGAGATTTTCCCATCATGACATCACAAAGGGCAGTAACCCCTCCCCCAGGTGGGTGACACTCCCACAGCCAGGTGTTTGTTCTGCCCTCTGAGTCTGCCTTCTCATTGTACACAATAAGACGTAGCACGAGAAAGCCCAAAACACCCAAGCCCTTCTAGAGAGGGGGCGTGGTCAGACACAAATCATTTACATTTAAAGGTACAGACACAGAAACAGCCTGTTCTGAGCAGGGCTGAAATAGAGGGGTTTATAGGAATGATCAAATACAGGATCAGAGTGGATTAATACCAAGAAACTTCACACGCATGTTTTGAGGAGCTCTGAGACTTAAACTGGTTGATGAGGAGGAGAATATGTCACCTTTAAAGTTTTGAAGAAGCATGCAGCCCCGCTGATACTTCAGGCAGGAACTTCAAGGACATGTAGCTTCTCAATAAATCAAAAAACTGTGTCATATCTGATCCTCTGTTCCTCCTCACAGAAACCTCAGAGTGCTTCACTAACATCCAGAGAAGTATGCAGCAGTATGAAAGCCTCCCTGATCAGGCACAGGGACCAGAAGTGGACAGAAGACCATCTTAAGGTCCTGACACACCAAGCAGACGGCTTAGAGCTAGTGGCAACGAAGGCCGCCTGTGGTGTCGCCTTTTGTCTTGGCCAAAAAGTTTCACTATAACACACCGCAAAGACTACAGCCAACGGCCAACCACCACGTATGTTCTGTGCATGTGAGAGGAAATAACTCTTCATGCCAGCAGGTGGCGGTAGTCTGTAATCGTCATTCCAAAAAGGTGAAACTGGAAGAGGACAAGGAAGAACGCGGATAAATAAACCGTTGTTATGATACGAGAAGACCATTTTCTCACCGCTGTCGCTCAACACTCGTAATATAGGAACTTCTAATGGAGAATAATGTCTGATAAAAAGTTGAACATAGCGCTGGCGTTGTCAGCCCTTGGTCTTTTATTAGTGAAACAAGAAGAGAATAGGCACTTCCGTATTTCTTCTTGTGCACTGGCTTTGTTTGGCTTATCTGAACAGCCAATCAGAGAGATTCCTACAGCCAACAGCTCCGGACGCCGATTCAACATCAGGGGGCTCATTTATCAACAGTGCGTAAAAAAATCTGTATTTATCAAACATGCGGACGGCGATCGTACGCACATCGGTAGGTAATCAGTGTTGATAAATCCCACATGTTCTTAACCAGCAGGCTCGTGCATGTTCGGGGACATTTGCATTCAGAAACGCCTCCACTAAACCATTTATGGTAACAACACACCTCTTTAAAAACCACGTGAACATATTTACCTCAGCGGAATAATACGAGAGCAAAGAAAAGAAGCTTTATAACAGAAATGAAAGTGTATGAGGTTGAATAAAAAACGGTAATAAATAAATAGATAAATTAATAAAATAAGGTTAGTAACTCTCGTGCTGTGATCCAATTAAATTATTAGTCTTTTCACTTAGTCGAAGTTACTAACAAAAGAACAAATGCTGCATGACAGAAGGTGACAGGTCAGAGGAGAAAAGACGAAGATGAAGTTTGAGATTAAACTCAGTGCAAAAATAAAACGCATCGCGACACAAGTAAAAGTACAAGTTGATAAATCCCACTATTTGTGTGGGAATGTTCTTACGCACACATTACGCACTGTTGATAAATGAGCCCCCTGGACTTTAGTGGTGAAGCATGCAGGCACGGTACAGATTACAGTGTTAGTGTGCCCTAAATCTCTAAACGTTGGACCTCCTCTGACGGGATGCAGGAAGGACACTGGAGCAGGTGGATGTGTTCAGGAGTCACAGGCTAATGCGTCCTTTCAGAAAGATCAAATGGTCTCTCACCACAGATCTGTGGTCGGTCCTCAGGCGGTCCCTCAGGTTCCTCAGCGTGTTCCTGAAGCCTCTAGACTTAGGTTTGTCCGGCTTGGCTGCAGGCTGAGGACTCTTCTGGACCTGAACCGCCCCCCTCTTCATCAGCCATGATGGACACACCACACGGAGGAGATGCTCATTAGAAACAGGGTTTAAACTCTGATCTTTAATCTGCTGTTTTATGACTGAGGTTTGGTTACCCTGCTCTCCTCCTTTTCCTCGTCCTCCTCCTCACTCTCACTGTCGTTGATGAAGCAGAGCTGGAGGTTCATCTGCGTCTGCAGCCTGCAGGAGGAAACACAAATACACCTTTTTATAAACAGCTGATTATTCAGAGACCAACATGACCGCTCACTCACATGACGGGAATGAAACGTTGCCGATGTCTTGGTGCAATTGAGACAGTCGCCCTTTTCAGACTGCTTTTTTCACTAAAGTGCCAGCACATAACTAAGCTCCGCCCTCGTCTTATCTTTATACGTTGAAGTTGATTCTGCGACGGCGTTATATAAACGCCCCAGTCTGTGAGGTCACATTGTGTTTCATCGTTGCAGAAGCACGACACAGCGGGAGCTCCACATACACACACAGCGCTGTTCTCCCCCGCTGGCTCAGCTGATCCAGTCTCTCCTCTGTAACGCCTCTGTTACTACCTCTGCAGATGCTACGGGGGGGGGGGGGTCACTTTGTCCCCTCATTACACCTCCACAACATTCAGACTGAAGGAGAAACGTCACAGGGGCGTAAATATCACGGCTTGAAACGGCGCTCTGAACGCGGCTTATGTGTTTGCATTTTATGATCATTGAAAACAACAAATTACCAACATTTGGTGTCGAGAAGTTTTATTTTTGAAGCTTCAAACATGTATCCTTACATTTTTACAAGAATCTAATCAAAGTGTAAAAGTTGTTGTCACGACAATCAAGCATGATTTAGCGCCCCCTGGTGGATGAGTTAAGCCGCTGCAGCAGACGAAGGACTGAGGAGCTGAAACACACCGAGGGAATGTTTCATAGGCCCTTTCTGAATTGTCACAGTTCAGTAGGCAGTACGTACTATTCAGTATGGAGTTTCAGTATACTGAACTTTCGTGGTCATTCAGTATGCATTTTTTGGGTCCACCTCAGTATACTGAACATTTCAGTATAGATACTAACTTCCGGGTTTTATGCAGTATGGATCGAATGCATGCTTTCAGGAAATGAATTGTGTTTTACCACCCACAATGCAGTGCGAAATTAAACGTAAATTGTCACTTCACGTCCGCCTCCAAATCAAAACAAACGAGCGTGGATTAATTGAATACATTTTTAATCTAGAGTTAAAGACCCGAATGAAATCGCTACTTTTAATTAACAACAGACAATATAACAAATATCTGCATTATTATAAAACCTTTCCCCCTCTATTTAAATAATAATTTCACTATTTAAATGTGTCTTTTGTGTTTTATTTTACTTTATATTCTGTATATTACTGTCTTTCATTTGTACTTTCCTTTATGTACTGTATGTTATTTAGTTATTTAATCGAGTTACATTGTGTTATTGTGTTTTTTTTACCTGACTGTATAAATAAATAAAAAAATAAATAAAATAAAAACGGGTGGATGCGGCCAGTTCAGGAAACTTAAATGACGCCACTTCCTTACTGAATGAATCAGAAGAAGTGGGAACAAATATCTGCCTACTCTGAGCGCCTACTGAATACGCACGGATAGTAGGTACTGTCTACTGCCTACTGACAGATTGAGTGGGTACTTGGCAATTCAGATACAGCCATAATACAGACTTTAAAATGTATATCTGTGAAACACAAAGACTCAGCTGCCTTCAGGACAGCGACGTCTGGTGGCCGACTTACAGTACTACAGCTCTCTGAACATCAGCGCTTCCTCTCGAGTGTTCAGATGAAGACTGTGTGGTTATTGTCTTCACAGACATGACAGCGCGCTGATGAGTAACAGCACAGGCATAGGAAGAGTGTGTGTGTGTGTTTACCGTGACGTTAGAGCCAGCACATGGCTGTTGCAGGCGTCGTCTCGATCTTCCCAACTATCCTCTCTCCTCCTCCCTCTCTCCTCCATCCAGCTGAGAGGAGCTCTGCCTCGATCTAAACACACTCCCTAACACACACACACACACACACACACACACACAGAGAGAGAGAGAGGTGAGAGAGAGATGATGGAGAGGATAAAAGTTAGATGAGGTGGAAGGAGAGAAGGACATGAGGAAGAGAGGACGAGCAAGAGGAGGATGGGTGGAGGATGATTAGTGATGAAGAAGAAGATGACAGGCGGATAGGAGAGGCAGATTAAAGGCGAGGAAGACGAGGAGAGCAGGGTGAGGAAGACGAGGAAGACGAGGAGAGCAGGGCGGGGAAGACGAGGAGAGCGGGGCGAGTAAGATGAGGAGAGCACGGTGAGGTAGACGAGGAGAGCAGGGCGAAGAAGATGAAGAGAGCAGGGTGAGGAAGATGAAGAGAGCACGGAGTGGACGATTTTCAGACCCCGCCCATCTTTGACCTTTAATTTAACCTTTAAAGGTCATATCTAGATTTTGATTGGTAGTTCGGAGTCTTCACATTATTAAAGATGATTATTTCAACATTTTTCAGGAAAACAAAACACGCCATGCTTAAATATCCTGTGGATATCTGTGACTCTGTGAGCACACACACACACACACACACACACACACACACACACACACACACACACACACACACACACACACACACACACACACACACACACACACACACACACACACACACACACACACACACACACACACACACACACACACACACACACACACACACACACACACACACACACACACACACACACACACACACACACTCACTTTGACCACGATGTTTTGGAGGTGATGAAACGGACACCTGCAAACGACCTCCTACCTTCGCCTTCTTCTCCTCCTCCTCCTTCTCCAGCTCGGCGATCCTCAGGCTCAGAGCCTCCCAGTGCATGATGGGAAGGCCCAGGTTGTCCTCGCCGTATCCTTCCTGCCACACCATGGCTGCTCCTTCTGAACCTTCCTCCTCCTCCTCCTCCTCCTCCACCTCCTCGTTCTCCTCCTCATCAGAGATCCTGTCGTCCTCCGCCTCGTTGCTCTCCTTCTCCTCCCTCTGATGCTCCTTCTCTCCCTCCATCTTTACGCCGACTCTGTTGGAGACATGAGTACAGAGAGTTGGTGTCGTTCAGTTTATTTTTCTGTTAAACTACACGTATCATTGATAGAATGACAAATATTCTCATTATAGCGTCGTGTAGAGGACTCTGCTGCTTCCACGTCGTTCTTTTTACTTCACGTCTTACCTCAGAGACCCCGCCCCCCTCCGGTCTGACAGGGATGGTCGAACAGGTCATGTTCAAACAGGTCAGGAGGATTTCAGGAGAAGTCCTCCTGAAGTTGTTTGGATATTTTCAGGAGTGTTTGTGTGGAAACAGCTTCAGTTTCAGAGGAACAATAATAATTGTCTGTGTGTGTGTGTGTGTGTTTCAGCATGTTGAAAACAGAGAGTTACATTAAATCTTCCCCTAAGTGATTAATAATTAATATCTTCATTTGAACAATTCTCTTAAATCTGGAGGAGCGTTTATTGGAAGTCTTATGGTACTTTGATTTAACGCTCTGATCTGTGTTTGATCTTTTGCTTTTATTTTGAAGGGAACAAGAATTATAATTATTATAACTGGCCTTTGATCAACTTTCACTCTTTGTTGAGACACTTTTCATTTTTTTTTTTAAAGTTTTACAAAGTGTAATCTCGTTTCGAGCTCTCCTCTCGGCCCTGCCCTGAACTCAAACTCTGACCGAGCAGCGGCTGAATCGATTAATCGACCAGACTCCTGTGATTGATCGGTGTGTGTGTGTGTGTGTGTGTGTGTGTGTATGTGTGTGTGTGTGTGTAGTAGAGTCACTCACCTGTCTCTCAGGTGTTTGGATTTCAGCTCGTTTTCAGAGAGAACAAACTCAAAGTTTTGCCACATATCTGTTTCTCCTCTCAGCTCCTCCTCCTCCTCCTCCCCCGTCCATCACGATTTCTCCCCAAACTCTTCCCTCTCAACCCGCCTAAAGGAGCTCAAAACTCCGAACTGTGGACCCCGTGTGGTTCCGTGTAGACCCGTGAAGACCTGACCCGGGTCAGTCCAGATAGCTCGGGTTAAAGGCTGCTCTCCTCTCTCCGTCTTTGTCCTCCTCTAACTTCGTCTTCAGACTTCAGAACAAAAGATCCAAACTTCAGGAATTTCACAGGAACAAGTGAAAAACAGAGACTGTAACCTTGAGACTTCCGGTCCTCACCTTCAAAATAAAAGCCTCCCTGTGCTCTATATGGATCCGTTTATTTTGGTAGAAAGAAACCTCTTCTTCCTTTTTCCGGTCTGAGTTTACAAGTTTTAGAAGAAGTCAAAAATATGATTTATATCGTTTTACGTGAAATAATCTTAAATGAAATAAACTTTAAGAAATATACTGGAGAGGAAACGCGAGGTCTGCACCAGGAGGAAGTGAAGCACTCTCAGCTTAATACATGACAAACCTTCAAAATAAAAGCATTCCTCTTTTTTTATTTAATTTTTTTAACTCATATTTTTAAGGCAAGGAAGTGTTCGGAGGAGGGGGGAAGGGGGCGTCATGAGGAAAAGGGATTCAAACCCACAGCCTCCTCAACAAGGACTATGACCTCTGTACACGGGCGCCAACATAACTGTTATGCATCCGATGCCCCCACCATTTTCATTTTTAAATGTGTGTGTTTGTGTCATTAAAAATGGAATAAAATAAAGTTTATTTAAAGTATTTTAAGTTGTTCTTAAAAATTCAAACAGTCAGTGATGTAGACAGATAACGACCACCAGGGGGCAGCATGACGCCACAGACAGACAGAGACCTCAGCGTTTGAATCGCAGAAGCTCTCATGATTACTTTCATAATCAAGACATTATTTAAATTAATCAGCTTTAATTTATTTTAACGTCTGACCTGCTGAACACAAAGTTTTAGTCTGTTTCCTGAAACGCTTCCCCTGAGGTCGAACTCTTCTTCTACTGAATGACCAGTGGCCTTTTTACACAGTGATCAATATTTAAAATATCTTTAATTAAAATACAGAAAGTTACTGAAAACATCTGAGTCTACAAAACTGACGAGTCGGAATATCATCATGGATATTTAAAAGATGCTTCCTGATAGGATTGTGTCTCTGTGTGTGTTTCTGTGTGTGTCTGAGTGTGTGTGTGTTTCTGTGTGTGTCTCTGTGTGTGTGTTTCTGTGTGTGTGTGATGGTGAAAGAAAGTGCTCACACATTCTGAAGCAGCAGGTTTCTTTATTTCTGTTGCTTGAGCTTTACAAAGTCAGCATTCATGACACACGGAGACGCAGGGCGAGCTACAGAAGCCGAACAGGACGAGTGAGTGAAGAAGACAACGATGAGGAAGAGGAGCAACTCATCACACCAACAAAGAAGAAGAAGAAGAAAGAGGTTTATGGCACTCAGAATAATATATTGCTTTGAAAACACAGCCTCTATCCGTCATCATTGTTTGATCACCACAGCTTTAAATATCAAATATATTCTTCATGACGTTATTGCTAACAGACACTAAAGGAGAGAGAACGCTCGTACAAACTTTACACAAAATAACAGTCCAAGTTTGGCAGGATATACTTCAGGACATGCAGGGATCTGATAGGAGGGAGGCCGGGAGGGGGTGGGGCTTAAGCAAGGGGGGGGGGGGGGGGGGGGACTATCCCATTGGATGAGAGGAGCCGTCACTCACACAGCCAGTCACACATGCACACATTCTCCACAGGTGTGTTTGAGACGTCAGGTACAATCCTTATCATCCATGTTGAGTTCAATAAAGCTAAACTACACAAGACCCACTGCCGCACATGCCAACAGAGACGCTTCAGCCAATCACAGCGCAGATTCACTTCAGCCCCCAGAGTTCACACACATACATGCACACACGCGCATACACACACACACACACACACAGATATTAAGGTGGTAAAAACAGAAGCGAACAAACGGAGCGAGCGCCTTCATACAAAAGTCCATTTAAAAAATGATCGTTTTAAGGAGACACCCAAAAGTCCTCAAACATTAAAACATATTCCCTCACGAGCTACACCTGAACGGTGGGACTCACCTGACCTACAGGTCGGCTCTAACATGACGTCTTTATTTTACATGAAGCTGTAAATATTTCAGTTTCTGTGACACGGGCAGGAAACTCATAATTCTACATCCTGTTTCGAAATGAAATTAGACAGTTTTGGATGCAGGTTTTGTTCTGAGGCCTCACAGACTGTTCAGAGTGTTTTCCTCGATCTCAGACAAGAAGATGTCGAGTTCAACAGGACTATGTTTGCAAAGTCAGAGCTGAGTTCAGAGCTGAGTTCAGATCGAGCTCCGTGTTCTCGTGCTAAAGATCTCGACTGAATCATCTCGTGACCTCCAGATAACGACGAGATGACCTCGTTCATTCAGTCGCTGTCTCAAAGTCTGGAGAGGTTAACTCGGCCATGAGGGAAAAGCACAGTTTCAAATGAACAATGAGAGAAACTACACAGAGTCAAATAAAAGGTGTGGCTGTTTGTCTGCTGAGGGCTTCCTTACACAAACACGCCGAACGGCGAGGATCTAAACGCACAACACGGCGTGTTTCAGGACTTCCTGGACTCTGCAGAGTCCCCATGAAGCTCACCTCAGTTTCTGCACTTTTCTGTCTGTGTTTTAAATAAAGTTCAATAAAAACGTTCACAGCAGACATCTCAGTCTTTTCAAAATAAAATGACATAAAGGCGGTTAACGCGCATGAACATATCTCTTTAGTGTCACGTGTTTTACGGTCACTTCCTGTTTGTCGTGTAAATCTTAAACTTTGGAATAAAAGAATAAAAATAAAATAACTAACCCTAACTCCTGATTTTGTTTTATTTACGAGCTTTTATTTTGGTGACTCTGCTGACTGAAAACTGTGACCCTGTTTATTCAGGGGGAGGGGTCCAGTCGATGATTGTTCCTGCAGGATTTTATACTTTATAAATATCAGTAACTTTAATTTAACATGTGAAAATAAATATCTCAAACATCCGGAGTGCTGAGCGTCATTTTATTTTCAAAATCACTTTTTAGCTTCAGCCTTCCTCAGAGTTACGTAACCATCATTTCTCCGCCTGTCTTTTCATCTCTCTGTCACATCTCCACCTCTATCTCCATCCTCCATCTCCCCCTCGCCTTCCCCCCTCCCTCTTCATCCATCCCTCACCCCTTGCCTTCCCCCCTCCCTCTTCATCCATCCATCCCTCACCTCCTCCTTGCTTCCTCCATCTCTCCCCTTTCCTCCCCCTCGCATCCTCCATCTCCCCCCTTTCCTCCCCCCTCGCCTCCTCCTCCATTTTCCATCATCCCTCCATCCTTCACGTCCTGTTGGCTGAGCCAGCGCTCTGTCACTTTACCCTGCACTGAGTGAATTACTCGCCCTCCATTAGGCTAACGAGAACGCAGAGGACGGAGGGGGGAGGAGGGGGTAGAGAGAGAGGTGAGAGAGAGATGATGGAGAGGATAAAAGTTAGATGAGGTGGAAGGAGAGAAGGACATGAGGAAGAGAGGACGAGCAAGAGGAGGATGGGTGGAGGACGATTAGTGATGAAGAAGAAGATGACAGGCGGATAGGAGAGGCAGATTAAAGGCGAGGAAGACGAGGAGAGCAGGGTGAGGAAGACGAGGAAGACGAGGAGAGCAGGCGGGGAAGACGAAGAGAGCGGGGCGAGTAAGATGAGGAGAGCACGGTGAGGTAGACGAGGAGAGCAGGGCGAAGAAGATGAAGAGAGCAGGGTGAGGAAGATGAAGAGAGCACGGAGTGGACGATTTTCAGACCCCGCCCATCTTTGACCTTTAATTTAACCTTTAAAGGTCATATCTAGATTTTGATTGGTAGTTCGGAGTCTTCACATTATTAAAGATGATTATTTCAACATTTTTCAGGAAAACAAAACACGCCATGCTAAAATATCCTGTGGATATCTGTGACTCTGTGAGCGAACACACACACACACACACACACACACACACACACACACACACACACACACACACACACACACACACACACACACACACACACACAACACACACACACACACAACACACCACACACACACACACACACACACACACACACACACACACACACAGCAAAGTGAAGCAGAACACCCGGTGTTATGGAATTAGTGGTCATCAACCAGACAGAGACTGAAGGACGGAAACAAAAACCCTGATATGTCGAAAAGAAGGAATCGTCTGAAACAGAAGATGAGTTTATGAGACCCCACACACACGTCGTCATCACACACACACGCACACGCACCACGCCCGAGGTAATGACAGATCTCTGACAGTCGTGACATTACTTCCCTCCACAGCCCTTGGACAGACACACATAGACACGGGCTGAATAAATAGAATAAATTAATAAATACACGTCAGTTTGAACTCAAACAACGAATGAAGTCACACTTCACTGTGAGGGGGCGGGGCTATGGAGGGAATGACCGCTCACTCTGCCCTCCCTCGTCGCTCTCTCTTCTCTGGGCGGGGTGAAAAGGGCGGGGCTCAGAGGTCGGTGCAGCGCTCCTGCTTGCTGTAGTGATCGGTCAGAGTTTCAAACTTCCATATATCTAATTTAATGTGTGATGTTTATGTGGTGCGCACTCTAGAGAATCCTCCAGTACTACGCGTTGCTTCTCATGGGAACTTAATTTACATTAGCATGCCAGCTAACCATAAGAATACGTTAAACCTTTAACAGACGACCATGAGTTAAATATTCAGGTTGCTTTAACAACAGGTTCATGTCTGTTAAAAGCTGGTCTTTGTTTTTTAGATGCAGTGTTACCATGATGTTAGGAGGCGTGGCCAGAAACGGTTCCAGAAAAGCACACATCTGTTCCTCAGGCCTCTGGATCTTCAGAGGTTCAGTGTCAGACCGACGTGCTTCTGCTCCTCAGCGTGAAACACGGGGCCAACGCTTCTTACTCTCCACCGGGCCTCATGGTTCACATTGGGTTCCTGCAGAGACGCCGTTAGAACAGCGAGGAGTCAAACAACCAGTGAGACAGAATTAAAGATTTTTCTTTCAGAGTCAATAATAACTCAATGGTTCACATTGGGGTTCCTGCAGAGACGCCGTTAGAACAGCGAGGAGTCAAACAACCAGTGAGACAGAATTAAAGATGTTTTCTTTCAGAGTCAATAATAACTCAAAAGTTAACCCGTACCCTTCAGCTAACCAGCATCACCAGCTTGAAACATAAACCTCCCTCATAAACAAACGTACGAGCAGCGCACAACATGTAGAAGCCATGACTACTAAGAGACTACTAACTGACTTACACACAAACCAAATAACTTAACTAACAAACCGTCTTAACCAATCAACCAACCAACCAACCAACCAACCGTCTTAACAAACCAACCAACCAATCAACTAACCATCTTAACCAATCAACCAACCGTCTTAACCAACCGTCTTAACAAATCGACCAACCAATCAACCAACCAATTAACCATCTTAACCAATCAACCAACCGTCTTAACCAACCAACCAACCAACCATCTTAACCAACCACCTTAACAAACCAACCAACCAATCAACCATCTAAACCAATCAACACAATCAACCAACCATCTTAACCAACCGTCTTAACAAATCAACCAACCAATCAACCAACCAATTAACCATCTTAACCAATCAACCAACCGTCTTAACCAACCGTCTTAACCAACCAACCAACCATCTTAACCAACCACCTTAACAAACCAACCAACCAATCAACCATCTAAACCAATCAACACAACCAACCAACCGTCTTAACCAACCAACCAACCATCTTAACCAACCACCTTAACAAACCAACCAACCAATCAACCATCTAAACCAATCAACACAACCAACCAACCGTCTTAACAATCAACCAACCGTCTTAACAAACCAACCAACCATCTTAACAAACCAACCAACCAATCAACCAACCAACCAACCATCTTAACCAACCAACCATCTTAACAAACCAACCAACTTAACCAACCAACCAACCGTCTTAACAATCAACCAACCGTCTTAACCAACCAGCCAACCAACCAACCGTCTCAACCAACCAACCAGCCAACTTACTCATTCACTAACAGCCAAACTGCAGATATTTGGTCTTTTTTAATCAGTGTGAAAATGAGATTAACTTAAAGGTCTAAAAACTGTGGTGAGGCCATGTTGGTCATATATGTCATGTATAATCCAGGTTATAGACTGAATGCTAAGTAAAGAGGTTTAAAGCCTGATGATGAAATGTTTGAGTTCTGATACATCTTAAACTGCGTGTGTGTTTCAGTATAGAGTCTGACATCAGCCCTCTGCAACAGAGTCATCACTCACTGCTCTGACATCATTAGATTAAAAGCTTTAATGATTCTCTCCATGCTGCACAGAGACACATCTCATTTATCAACAGAGATGTTTGAGGCTGCAGGAGGATTTCATGTTGGATTCAGATTCAATATTTGCTATGTGGTTCTGACCCTGTGCGAGCGAAGTTGGCCCAGTATTTCATCATGCGTCGGCTCAGCTTCTCCTCGTCCAGCGTGTAGTTCAGTCTCTTCTCCAGCGGGAGGCCGAACACAAACTCGATCTCGTATCCGTGGATCACTCCCATCCACTCGGGCCAGGCCAGGTTAGACGCCCGGTGGTCAAACAGGTACAGGTAGACGCCTCCTGGAGGAGGAGGAGGAGGAGGAGGAGGAGGAGGAGTTAATTATGGCTCAGAGATGGACTGACACCAGCATACCTAGACATGATCTTACCCTGTGAGTTTCCTCCGCTGTTCATCCCCCCGCCCGCTCCCCCTGTGTTGGCCTTCATGGCGTTGTGCTGGGCATAGGAGCGAGCAAAGTGAGCAAGTGGGCAGATGACATTATGGTCACCAACGATGTCGTCCATGGCATCGCGGTTCTTCAACCCATTGTTCTCGTCCATCCAGTCGGTGTACTGCAGCACCACAGACTCCAGACCGATGTCGTTAGCATGAGGAACGCTCAGCTTCACACCTGCAAGAGGAAGGGTTAAAAAGTGAATATAAACATTAAAGAACCAGAACACATCACCATCATCTACACCTGAACACATCATCATACTCTGGACCTAAACACATCGTAATCATCTGCACCTGAATGCATCACCATCATCTGCACCTGAATGCATCGTAATCCTCTGCACCTGAACACATCATCATACTCTGCACCTGAACACATCATCATCATCATCTGCACCTAAATGCACCATCATCCTCTGCACCTGAAATCATCATCATCCTAATATCATCATACTCTGTACCTGAACACATCATCATCCTCTGCACCTGAACACATAATCATAATATGCACCTGGACACATCATCATCATCCTCTGCTCCTGAACACATCATCATACTCTGTACCGCAACACATCGTAATCATCTGCACCTGAACACATCATCATCATCATCATATGCACCTAAATGCATCATCATCCTCTGAACCTGGACACATCATCATCATCCTCTGCTCCTGAACACATCATCATACTCTGTACCTCAACACATCGTAATCATCTGCACCTGAACACATCATCATCATATGCACCTAAATGCATCATCATCCTCTGCACCTGAACACATCATCATCATCTGTACCTGAACACATCATCATCATCAGTACCTGAACACATCATCATCCTCTGCACCTAAATGCATCATCATCCTCTGCACCTGAACACATCATCATCATCACCTGTACATCAACACATCATCATAATCTGTACCTGAACACATCATCATCCTCTGCACCTGAACACATCATCAACCTAATATCATCATACTCTGTACCTGAACACATCATCATCCTCATATCATCATCCTCTGAACCTGAACACATCATCATCCTCTGTACCTGAACACATCATCATCCTCTGCACCTGAACACATCATCATCATATGCACCTGGACACATCATCATCATATGCACCTGGACACATCATCATCCTCTGTACCTGAACACATCATACTCTGCACCTGAACACATCATCATCCTCTGCACCTAAACACATCATCATACTCTGCACCTGAACACATCATCATCCTCTGCACCTGAACACATCATCATACTCGTCCTCTGTACCTGAACACAAAAAGATAAATAAAACTAATCAAACCAGAGATCAGGGAGTGCAGAAGCTCCCATGTTCTGTTAAGTTATGAACTGGTTTACTGGTTTGAGGCCGGTGGCTTTAAAAGAGGCGACGTAACGTTTGTTTCTGGTTAAATAAAGAGATCTTACTCTGGTTTTTATGACTGCAGAATCAATCTTTGGTCTCTATTTAACGAGCTTTTGTGTAACTCTGTTGGACTCAAGCAGGCTTTTCTCTGATCCTCCTTCACCTTCCAGGAAGTCTTCTCTGGAGATGAGGCTCTCGTTGTCCTTGCTGAAGCCTGGCGCTCCGTACAACAGGAAGTAGGATCCCTCGTCCTGGTTGACCCCGAGCAGCACCTGAGTGTCTTTAAAGTTTCCTGAGCTCAGCATGGCCTCTGGCGTGTCAGGGAGAACCTCGCCATCGACCACAGGGACGAATGAGAACCTGAAGAGGGCTGACCACGGCAGGACCTGATCAGAGAAGGAGGACAGGGAATCAATGAGATTAAAAACCAGAATGACCTTTTCATGTGAGTCGAGTGGATCCTCAGCGTACTGTGCAATCGGGTCTTTACTCTGCGTTACCTGCCACTCCTGGTCGATGAGCTCCTGGGGGGTTTTGCTCCTCAGACAGTCCACCAGCTCTGTGTCGTTGCCGCCGTTACAGCCGACCAGTTTGCCCAACAGCGTGGCTCGTCTGCGGGCCTCTGCGGGGCTGACCGAGGCCCAGGGGCAGTTGGGGACCCCACTCTGAAGGATGGCCCGGGTGAAGGTGGGCCGGCTGTCTGGAGACAGGAGGTGGTACCCGACTGAAGCTCCACCCGCGCTCTCTCCAAAGATGGTCACCTGATAAAGATCACACACAGAGGTTTAAAATGATCTGAGAAATAAAAGGAGGACTAAATCAGTCACAAACGGACCTGTTTGGGGTTTCCTCCAAAGAAGTGGATGTTGTCTTGGACCCACTGCAGCGCCATCCTCTGGTCAAGCAGACCTACGTTTCCAGGAGCCTCTGAGGAGCCGTGCAGGGCGAGGAAGCCGAACGCACCGATCCGATAGTTCATGGAGACCACGATGACCGTCTCACTGTGAGCCAGGTAGCGACCGTCGTACACGTCCAGAGAAGAAGAGCCGCTGTAGAATCCTGTCAGATAGATCAGAAGTGTTATTTTTTTTCTCACACAAAAAAAATCAGGCAGGTGATTCAAACTCAGAGAGATTTTTTAGAGAGATTTTCAGACTGTGGAGCAGGTGTGCTGCTGAACATCCTGTGTGTGTGGAACAAAAAGCTCAGTGTGTTGACCTTGCTGATGTCTGACCATCTTTCTAAGACTTTTTCTAAATATCAGGAACATACTGCCCCACTGACTTTAGACCAGGCGCCCTCAAGATAGGACCTGTCTCACTGAACACACCTCAGTCTAAGACAAACCCCCCTGCTGGGCGCTAACGGGGGTGCAAGTTAAAAAAAACGACCGTGTCAGGAGGGAAATACACCTCGGCTGAGACACTTCGTGCCATGTATACGTTAGGGTACAAACAGGAAGTCATTTTCAAACACGATTAATGCTGCCACCCAAAACAAATGAAACAATTGAACCCGGCTTTAAAGAGGTCATATTTGGCCGTTTTTGGGGTTCGTATATTTAATCTATGTACCTACTTTTGTACGTTCACTATAGCTAAAGTCCGAAAAAAGAGTCTGTTTTCATGTACTGCTCTTCCTTGCTCCCTCTAAGCTCTGAGTCCGTCAGCTACGCTCTGTTGAGCCCACACTGTTAGACCCCACGTGGGCCAAGTCTGCTCTGATTGGTCTGCCAATCCCCTCTTTCGTTATTGGTCAGTTGCTCAGCACACGTCTCGGAAATTGCAACATGAGCTGCAGGGCTTTCCACAACGAGCCAATGGGCTTAGATCAGTGATCTCACACTGACAATGACGCCGCACTGAAATTTTTTCGAGGGGGGCTAGAACCGAGCGTTACATGCAGCTAATGCTACAGCTAACAGGAGGATGTAGGAGAAGCCGCGTTTCCGCGGACTTTGAATTTTTGCACACAGATGTGCCTAAACATGCACAGGACACTTGGAAAACACACTAAAGAGCATATAAAACCAGAAGAAGCATAATATGGGACCTTTAAAACTACTACAATGTTCCTTGAATGCATCTTGTTTGTTTGTTATTGTGTGTTTGTTCGTTATTGTGAGTGTTGTGTGTTTGTTTGCTGTTGTGTGTTTGTTTGTTGTTGTTGTGTTTGTTGTTATTTGTTGTTCGTGAGCTTGTTGTTTGTTTGTTGTTGTTGTGTGTTTGTTGTTGTTCGTGAGCTTGTTGTGTGTTTGTTTGTTGTTGTTGTGTTTGTTGTTATTTGTTGTTCGTGAGCTTGTTGTTTGTTTGTTGTTGTTGTGTGTTTGTTGTTGTTCGTGAGCTTGTTGTGTGTTTGTTTGTTTTGTGTTTGTTTGTGTGTTGTTCATTGTTGTTTGTGTGTTTGTTGTTGTGTATTTGTTGTGTTTTTGTTTGTTGTTGTTCGTGAGCTTGTTATGTGTTTGTTTGTTTTGTGTTTGTGTGTTGTTCATTGTTGTTTGTGTTTTTTTGTTGTGTGTTTCTTGTATGTTTGTTTGTTGTTTGTCTGTTCGTCGTTGTTTGTTAGTTGTTGTCTGTTGTGTCTTTGTGTTGTTTGTTATCACAGCTGCTCAACTGAACGATTCAGTCATATTTGTTGTGTGTTTGTTTGTTGTTTGTTTGTTTGTTGTTGTGTGTTTGTTTGTTGTGTTTGTTTATTGTGTGTTTGTTTGACTCGATGAGTACCTCCTCCGTAGATCCACACCATGACGGTGAGGTTGTGCGGTCTTGGCGAGGAGGGCACCCACACGTTCAGGTACAGACAGTCCTCGCTCATCTGTCTGTTGGGGTTCCACATCTCGCTGCCCTGGAACCCGGGAAACGACGTGTCCACAAACTGGTAACAGGCGTTGGGGTATTCCATGGCGTCATACACCCCCGTCCACAGGCGCTTGGTTTCGGCACGCCGGAAACGCCGCTTTCCAACAGGAGGCTCGGCGAAGGGGATGCCCAGGAAGGAAGTGACGAAGCTGTGTTCAAGCACTGGCTGACGGAACCCACGGACTCGACCAGTACGAGTCATAACGGTGAGGTCTGACTCGCCCTGAGAGGAGCAGGAGGGGAGGAGGAGAGAGAGGAGGAGAAACGGGGAGAGGAGGAGGAGGATGGAGGCCTGCATGATGGAGGCGGTCGGCTTGGTCAAGATTCCCTCTCCGATCAGTCAGTGAGGGCGGGATGGGATCTGAGAGAGAGAGAAAAAGAGAGAGAGAGAGTAATGTGATTAGAGTGATGGAGACCAGACTCTGAGGAAACAGATGATGGACCTGATGTAGGAAGTCCTGGTCGTGTCTTTGTCTTTGAACAGTTCGGACGGGCAGAGGACTGAAATTCAAAACATTATTTTCAAAATATTAGTCAGACATCTATTATCTCCCAAGTTATCCTATTTTACTCATTCAAACATCATCTTCAAACATCATCTTTAAATGTTCTTGTGCTCAGTCTACACGGTTTTCTCTCTTTGATGCATGAATCTAAACATAGCGTCCTGTGGCATCCTGTCAGTACTTCTACTAACTCTAAATCTATGTGAGCATAAGTCTGAGCGTCAGAGTCAATAACAGACTCTTCACCTTCATTTATTCCCAAACTGAGGAGTGCACCCCCTCAAGGGACATGTCATAGGAGGGTGTGGCAAGGCTAAACAAAGCAATGTACTCAATTGTGAATGGTTAACAAAGCATGGTCAGTGTGACAACTGCTGGTTTAACACAAGGCCGACATGAATCTACACCAAACGTCACGATGATACAATATGACGAGTCAGATCCAAGCAGCAACCTCCGGTGATGAAAAAATTAATCCAAAAAACTGCAGTTCCTCCAATGTCCACTAGAGTCTGTCTCCTGCAGTGAGTCCCCATAGAGCCCCATGTTAAAATGTCCAACTTTACAGCTGCAGTTCCTCCAGTGTCCACTAGAGTCTGTATCCTGCTGATACAGATATAACAGATATAAGGATGATGATGTGTTCAGGTGCAGAGGATGATGATGTGTTCAGGTGCAGAGTATGATGATGTGTTCAGGTGCAGAGGAGGATGATGTGTTCAGGTACAGAGGATGATGATGTGTTCAGGTGCAGAGGATGATGATGTGTTCAGGTGCAGAGGAGGATGATGTGTTCAGGTGCAAAGGATGATGATGCATTCAGTTGCAGAGGATGATGATGTGTTCAGGTGCAGAGGATGATGATGTGTTCAGGTGCAGAGGAGGATGATGTGTTCAGGTGCAAAGGATGATGATGCATTCAGTTGCAGAGGATGATGATGTGTTCAGGTGCAGAGGATGATGATGCATTCAGTTGCAGAGGATTATGATGTGTTCAGGAGCAGAGGATGATGATACGTCAAGATGCAGAGGATAATGATGTGTTCAGGTACAGAGGATGATGATGTGTTAAGGAGCAGAGAATGATAATGTGTTCATGTACAGATGATGATGATGTGTTAAGGAGCAGAGAATGATGATGTGTTAAGGAGCAGAGAATGATGATGTGTTAAGGAGCAGAGAATGATGATGTGTTCAGGTACAGAGGATGATGATGTGTTCAGGTACAGAGGATGATGATGTGTTAAGGAGCAGAGAATGATGATGTGTTCAGGTACAGAGGATGATGATGTGTTAAGGAGCAGAGAATGATGGTTTGTTCAGGTGCAGCAGATGTGTAGGCGGGCGTTAGTTTCCCAGAAAAGACTCATTAAATATTGAGCAGCAGTCTGTTCGAGTCATGCAGCTCCACATAACAGAGAAAAAAGAATATAGCTGCAGACGTTACAGACTGTTTAACCCTAACCCTTATCAATCATTCAGACTCAGACATGTGTTACAATGATGAAGGTTTGAAAGTAAACGCTCAATAATGACACAGACTCACTGTCAGAGGAAACATTTTCCTCTCTCAGCGCTCAGACGTGTTTAAACCCTCAGAGCTCAGCGACAAACCACAGGACAGGTGTGTGGTCATGAGGGGAACTATAAAAAGGCTTCAGAGTAAAAGCCTAGTAAATACCACACACACACACACACACAGTGACCCTGTGCACCATGTGTTTGTCCTCATTGTAAGAACCTTACAGCAGTTTGTAAGTCAGAGTTTCATGTCGATGTGGAGAGAAGAATCAGGGAGACGATCTTTGTTTTGTGAAATGGAGCACACATTCACAGGTAGATGATTCCACCCTGATGTTAATTTGATGCATTAACCTTCGAGTCTCATCGTGTCAATCAATAAAATCTTTGTAAAATAAAAATGTTCATGAAAGGAAGGCAGAAACATTCTCACCCTGTGACAGCTGCTCAGATTAAAGACAGGGTTTTTATTTGGATCAAAGACTTGAGATTGAATAAACCTCCAGTCAGCGAGGCCACCATCTTTGGAAACGTGGCGTTACCCATACGTATTATATTTGGTTTGGTTTATTCCTCTCCTGCACACACGTCTTATGAAACAGACGTTACAGATAACAGATTATAGCGTTTTGTATTTTAAAATACGAGACAAATATACAAATATACTTTGTCAATAAGTTTTTGAGTTTACAAATAACTCTCAGTTTTCACACAGACACATGAAGCAGTGATGAGCTGGACGAGAACGTTAAGAGATATTTGTTTATATAAGACGACATGATGAAAAGAGTGAGTGTGTAGGAGGTCATTTTAGGCCTGTTTATGTGTGTGTGTGTGTGTGTGTGTGTGTGTGTGTGTGTGTGTGTGTGTGTGTGTGTGTGTGTGCAAGGAAGGTTACATCACCAAAATAGACCCTCTATATCTCTATACAGTCGAGAGTGTTCACACACACACACACTCACACACACACAGCTGCCCCCCTATCCCTTACAGCACCTCCAAACTAATCCTGTTGCTATGACGACCATACATCACACAACATAAACAGCAGCCTCAAACAGACAGGTGGGAGAGGAGCGAGAGCGGCCATTGTTGTTGAAGAAGAGAAAACACTTGAAATGAAGCAGCAGAGAGGAGGATTCATTTATAGGTCACCTCTGTGCCATGACTGTAGGCCATGTTTACAGACCGAACCGAAGCGTGCGTACGGAAAGGGGGTGTACGGAAAGCATGCGTACGGTTCTGTGCAGAGAGCAGGAGTCCTCCCCTTCTTTTGATGGAGTCTTTCCTCTCTGATGAAACAGACGTTACTTTCTAAGATAATGAAGATTGTCTCATTTAAAGAATGTGGTACTATGAAGAGTTCAAGAATCGAACATCTAACGGGCAGCTTCCACGGAATCTGTGGCGTGATGTTTCTTCCACGAAGCGCCGTCTCTGTCTCGTGCAAACAGCGCCACTTCACGTTTACACGCAGAATCTATTTTCAAAGGAGCCAGGACCAGGACAGGAAGTCAGACAAGGGAAGGCATAGAGCGTCTGGCCAATTTCAAAATAAAACTTAACATGCAGACTCGGGAGCGTATGTCACTTATCAAAACAGGCACCACATGAACAACAAACCTCTGAAAGACAAAGATGCCTGTTGTTTGCATGTACACCGTCAACAGAGCAAAACCACGGCGAAGACAGAACGCTGCCCACACGGATCCTGTGGAAACCGCCCGCAAGTGTTTGTATGGAGAGAAAGAAACACAAACTATCGTATCGACCCCCCGTCTCTCTATCAACAGATATTTGCAGCAAACAGTCTGTTCCAGATCAAACTCGCTGTGATGAGAAGCCAATCAGTGTTTAGATTCCCCAACTTCCTTGAATGCATCGTAAATGATCAATGCGACCTCCATTCAGCAGAGAAACATTTATAAAGTCGTTTTCTTCTCTTGATGGCCGACCTGACGAAGCTGAACTCATGATTAAACATCTGCATCCTGATGTTGGTGTTTCATCAAACTGACGAGCCGTTAAAGTCAGTCACAAGAAGATCAGTTTGTGCTCCAGGTTCAGACCTCTGAAGTGTGACTTATTATTTTCAGTTAAAGGGAGACCCACAGGAAACTGATGAACGGGCAAACCTACTGGGGAATGAACCAAGAAATGAAGTGATCTGAGACATGACTTGTCCTGTATGTGAAAACAGACATTCCCACACAACTTAATTTAAGTGTCTTGCTCAAGGACACGTCGGCTGCAGGAGCTGGGGAGTAAACCCCCCAACCTTCTGGTTTAGACAACCCACTCAACCACAGCCGCTTATAACAACATAATCACTGTAGCACCACAGAGTTCAGACTCTGACCCGATGAGATAAAGCAGGAAGAGAGACGAGGAGGGTCAATAACAGAAACAACATCAGGAACAAACAATATGTAAATATGATTCAATACAAATAAGAAGAGTAGAAACAATAAGAAGGCATATCTAGACTACCTGGTTTGGATTAGCTGGACTGCGTCGCCCTTTCAGAGGAGGACTGAGAAGTGATTGACTCTTCATATATTCTATTAAAAACAGATTTGTGACGTCACAAAGTGATTATTAATAGCAGAGACGGCAGAGACTACAGAGAGGCTGCTGGGACGAGAGAAGAGGAGAGAGAGAGTGGATGGTGATGAGACGGTGTGTTCAGGGACCAGCGAAGTATGGGCTACAGTATCTCCCTGTGGGTGCAGCTTCTGCGCCCGATAAATCTGCAACCGAGTCAAAAAGTCACTCAAAGGGTTAAAAGTTCCTCAAACTGCGCCTCTGTGCTTCGCTGCTGTTTGTATTTCAATGATCCTTTATTCAGTCAGTAATGGAACAATTCTCCTCTTTCTCAGTGAATCAGCCTCATTGTAAAAAGAGTCTAACTCACAGACAAGGGGCGCTAACAGCCACGCACAGTTAGAGTGAAGAAACAAGCGTCTGCTGAGAGTTGGCGGTAACTGCAACGACGCATGATTTATGAGAGATGTGACGCTCAAACTTTCCAGTGATCAGGAAAACACTTCCACCTCTGTGGGCCTTCAAAATAAAAGCTCTGTAAATAAAGTCTGTAAATATGACTCTGACATGATTATTATTAATACAACCAGGGGTTAAATCAGTCCGTCAGCGTGAGAGTGCAGCTCCATCAGTGTGAGAGTGCAGCTCCGTCAGTGTGAGAGTGAGTGCAGCTCCGTCAGTATGAGAGTGCAGCTCCGTCAGTGTGAGAGAGTGCAGCTCCGTCAGTGTGAGAGTGAGTGCAGCTCCGTCAGTGTGAGAGTGCAGCTCCGTCAGTGTGAGAGTGCAGCTC